CGCACGACCCGTTCCACGCCGGCTTCTGCCCTCATCTCTAATCGCGGCCTTTGCTGAAGTCAGCCGTGATTCGTGCCGCCAAAGTCTGGACGGTCGAGGCCTCGCGTTCCCTGACCTGTCACCAGCATGTGACGCTCTTGACTACGGCTTTCTCTCTGCGGCCTTCGCAAACCCACATTTTCCTCATCGCCCCGTCCACCTGCCTGCCCGCTCCTCCCTCCCCCGAACGAACTCATCCTCCTCCGTGTGGCTGTTACGCACGGAGGGTCCTCGGGGCTCGACTCGAGGAGTTTTCTCTCTTCGGTTCCGATTCGCTTCCTACGGCCTCGTCCTTCCCCGTGGCCTCATTTAACCCGCAGGTCTCAGCAGCTTTCCATATTAGTTACGAGACGCTGGGCTGTCTGCAGTAACGAGCCAACACCACATTCTAATAATCTAAAACGTAAAACAAATTTTCTTTCCTCCCATGTGCGAAGTCTTCTGCGGGTTTGGCAGTCACTCCTAAGTGGTGACTCAGGGATTCGGGCCGATTCCAACTTGTGGCTTCGCCCTGTCAACACGTGGCCTCCACCGAGGTGTGGCGGCTCACGGAGACGGACGAGACAGCACGGGACCCCCTCCCCACCCTCGTGTGCTCCCACCTACAGTCCTTGGGCTAGGACGAGCCCTCCTGAGTTCCTGGGGACAGGGGCTGCACCTGGCACTCCCACCTTCACACGTCTGGCCGAGCTCTCTGGAAGCCCAGCCTCCACGTCCAGCGGGGTCCTTCATTCACAGCATACCTCGGGGGTGACTCGCCCTCACCACGTCCCCAGTGAGCTCCTGGCGCACTCAGAAAAGGCGCCCCGCCTCAGCGAGCGGCCCCCCAAACAGCCAGCCGAAGCCGCAGGCCGCACTCGACTTCCTCCTCTCTTCCAGTCCCACCTTCGACCCGCCGTTTTACCCCCGTCTGCGGTCGGGGCAGCCCCTCTCCGCTTCCGGGCGGTCTGACGGCTCGGAGTGTGTCGGAGGGCAACATCCATCCCCCTTTTCAGGTCTTCCAGAGGCGGAACACCGGGCAGCTGGATTTCTTCAAGCGCTGGCGGACCTACGTGGACGGCTTCGGGGACCCCATGCAGGAGTTCTGGCTTGGTATGGCCTTTGGGAACCCCGGAGGGCTAGGTTGTGGAGGGAAGATTCTCGCCCCCCCCAAAAGCTGGCCAGGCAGCTCGAGGAAGCTCCCCACATTCGGGACAGGTCCAAAGGAACCTGCCGCCCGGTGTGCTGCTGCTGCCTTAGAGAGATGGGGTCGGCGGGGGAGGGAGGCTTGTATGGTTGCCC